GACTATGGATTTCGTTTAGCTTTTTGTAAAATTTTTAAAATGTTTTTAGCTTCGTGCAGCACGCAAATGTCTTGCGCGTATCTAAGAACAAAACTAAGAAGGAACTTCAATTTCGATACTGATTAATGATCGAATTAGCAAAGTAAGAACATGAATAATCATCAAAGTTGCAATTTACTTTCGAAACAAATGATTTAACAGACATTTTAAAATTCATTTGGATTAATGTTACAAAAAAAAAAAAATTAAGAAAAAATTATCACAAAAAATATCAAATAAAAAAGGACAGAAAACTTCCTTACAAGTTTCTATAGTGAATACAGATACTTCCACAAACAGTTCACACTTTTCGATATCTTTTTAGGTCATTAAAAGAATTCAACTGAAATTTAAAAATTACTTTAAGTATCTAGATAATTATTCTTTACAACATTTAACACTTTTAGTGCAGTTTTTTCATTTTATTTATGGTTGCATAAAATTGCAGTGTTGAAGTTTTTTCGTGGCAAGAGTCTTTTGAAGTTGCCTAAGTGCAAATATCGTCACTTGAAGTTGTTAAATATTGTTGTTGCAAATATTGTTGCTGCAACCATGTTGCGTTTCAGATACAATCTTTATATTTGTTAGTGCTGAATTTTGATAATTTTACTAGCACTGGAATGTTGAAATTAAAATCAAAAAGTTTCACAATTGCTGTTGAAAATTACTTATCTTTTAAAAATATTTTAAAAATAAATTTAAAAAAAAATAAATAGTTTAGTTCAAAGTTGTAGCAAGTTTAGTTCACAAGTTTTCACTTTAGTAAAATAATATATTTTGAAATAAATTGTCACTTAAACTTAAATTTAAATATTTAGTCTACTTAGCACCTACTTAGAAATAGTTTAAAACTTTTAAGTTTATTATGCAAATTAAGGTTTTCAAAAGGTATTTGATGTTTATATATAAATTTCAGGTGGTTTACCTTAGCCTAACACAAATTCAAATACATAATATTATATGTATGTTCAACTGAAACATACATACCTCCAACCGCTATTCAAAAATGAAAATCTCAATACTAAGAACAGGAAACTGATGTATAAGCAAATAATTCGTCCGTCACTTCTATATGATTGTGTAGCGTTTAGCGAAG